TAGTTGCATCTCGCGTGTTCATTATAATTCGAGCTTTTGTACTTACAAGTTCTATATACAGTATTACAATATCTTTCTCATTGCGTCGAATACGAAAAGAAACAGTCCCCGCAATGCGTGATTTGCCAAAGCCAGTTTCGCTCGTTTAGAATCTCTTTATGAGAAGCCTGTAGGGCAGTATAACACTTGTGTAAGAATATCCGCTAATACATGTTGAATTGGTCTATCTTCCACTGTATGATAAAAGGTCTCGTGATAAATGCGTTTGAACACTACTTTTATAAGATAAGAGTTACATAGTACAATAAATATTCGTCATGTCGGAAAATAATGTCATTATCGATCGGTTATCATAAGATTTGATCTTGTAATTGCTATTTCTCTGATTTAAAAAACTGTCTTCTTTGCAAACATTATTCATTTAAAAAACGACGCACTCATATTTACTCCGTAATTAGATAGCAATATCTAATTATAGATTCGAAAAACCAGACAAGAATGGTTAGGCGTGTATTGATAAAGTGCCTAACCATTCTTTTACATATCTACATTCTTTTTCCATATCTTTTGTCATAATTTCGACCTAGTCTTATATCCAACATATAGAAGTAATCCAAAATTCACGGCAATATTATGAAACCGCCGAACGGGATAGAAAAGCTTAGCATATCCTGTAATTTATATTGCTGTACGGAATAAATGCATATGTCTTATAAATAACAGTGCTATACCACATTTATCGCTATGCCTTTTGCTTAAACAATACATTTTATAAAGACCAACTACGTGATGATGATTATTATGGTCACTCTATACTAACACGATGCTCGTACAATGTGTAAAATTCTACAATTGTTTATATAAATTCGCATTCTTCTGATTATGCAAACCGACAACAAACATTTGAGATTTCATTTCCATTTTATTAGAAATTTCTATAACTGGATCTTATCTTACCAAATCGTTTTGAGATATAAAGATCACTTCTCACATCTAGATCTATCATTTTATCAAAGGTAGAATGAAAATAATTATGTAATTAATATTAATTCTTATATTGAAACATACCGATTCTCAATATAATGCGTGCTATTTTTACAGATAATTTAACGATTATGAAACTGTAGAGATTTAATAGAATTTTAATAGAAAAGTGATCTCTTATAGAATCTTTTTTATAATTAATTTCCGAAATTTATAAACAATTATTCATATAATTAAATATATAAATGAGTTGTGTAATATATTGTTTCATTACACATATTTACTATAGAGACACAGTCTGTTATTTTTTTACAAAAAGACGTTATAAAGTATAATATAGAGATATGAGACACTTGCCAGTGTTTAGTAACTTTGATAGTGTAAGATAAAAAATTTTTAACATTTTTTTCCTCTTTTCTCATTTAAAATGTAATATTTTATAAAATGTATATAACAGAGAGAGAGAAAGAGAGAGATTAAATTACTATAGTATATTTCAAGAAATTTAATAATTTTAATGAATTCTTCTATGGCTTGAAAGGCTGCACAAATCTTAAATATTATAAGAATGAATATAAGAATTGTGCTTGTCAAACATGGAAAGTATTGTTTATATCAATAATTATACAGTTACTGATAAAACATTTATCGAAAGTACCTGTATAACAAGATACTGAGCAAAGATTAAGATGTATCTCTTTCAAGATTCTTGAAAAAGGCATGATTATCAAGAATATATTTTTAAATGAAAGCTATGTTCTAATGAAAAATGTTGGAAATAGTTAAAAGTTTGTAAATTTTCATCATTAATTTACTCGATATTAGAACGTGATTTAGAAGCAATAATATAAACTTCAACGTGACGAAAAATTTAAAATACAAATATTCTTCGTAATTCGTACTTTCATATTTTTCATATGAAGATAGACTGTGTAACAAATTCACGTTATTTAAATAGGAGCGAATTCACTGACTTCTTTTAAAGATCTGTATCGTATTCGTAAGTCAGGAAAACATCAGAATAATGAATATTAACATTTTTCTTTTCTTACTATATCTGGCAATTCGACTTCGGGCAATACGATCGCAATGTTAGATCCTATGCTTCACTTTCCGTCGCGCCATCACCTTCCATAATAGGTACTATCAAATTATCCTTCGACATCAGATTATATTTTGTCACAAATGCAGTAAACCTGTAACAATAGAATAATTTTCCTTGTAACGTAACATTCATTAGAAATATTCATGAACAGATTGTATTTATTACCTGCGGCAGAGGAAAGTTTCATTTTCAAATTCGTCAAATATCGTTCTATGATGAAAATATGCATGAGAGAAAATTCTATAAACCCTACGACAAACAGAGCCAAGTTTTGCCACAGAAGATTCCTTGATGCTGATTCTGAAATGAAGATTTACATTATAAATTTATTTATGAAACCATTTGAAACAAAATAATAGAATATGAAAGAAATACCTGCTGGGAAAATATTTGTTGCTGTTAAGTAGACATGCTGCTCCATCCAATGTATGTCGAGTGTAATCAATCGCAGGACATTCCTTAGGAGTTTTATGCGCCGCACATAAAAATATCCATTGTTCCGTGGCTGTCATCTGTGTGCAAGTTTCAGGATGGCATTCTTCTTGTAATCTCACTGCCAAACCATTAAGCTCCATACAGAACTGCCTGAGATGTTCATACTTCCATACCCCTTCATCATTGGTTTCTGGCATATTAAGTATCAAATCAATATTGGATGGATCTCTTCTGATCATTTGTTGAATATATTGTTGCACGGCCAGCGTGCTATCCATTTCTTCGAACGGTTCATCCGGCCACCTGCTGAAGTCCTGCAAAGCAAAATAGAACTTCGATCATAAGGTCTATAAAAATAATTAAATTTACGTCAGCGTCCTTATAAACAATCGATCTTGCTTCCTTACTATGTAGCCATGATATAAAAATAAACCGTGAACAAAACACAACTCTCGCTCGCTCGCTCGCTCGCTCTCTCTCGCTCGCTCTCTCTCTCTCTCTGTATATTTTATCATGTTGAACAATCAATAAAAACCATGGAGAAACAAATGATCTGCACGGCGCATGTAAACTATACAGCATCTCGAATAAGGATAGAAAGTCAAGTTTGTCATGCTTCAATGAAGACTAAGGAACTACGGGATACCGTGAGATTATCGTGTCTGGTATTCGGAAACATATCATTCTCTTAGTGTAAATAGTATCTCGGTTGATATCAGATTCATCGATTATCATCGAGGAATGTCAAGAGAAGTAAAAGCACCGGGAGATTTCTGTCGAGAATTAATTCCAACGGTCAAGTGTCATCCGGGTGCAACGGTTGGTTCCTTAACGAGATTAAACGGAGTTAATAACCTCTGCTTTCGTTCCGGGCCTGTTTCTCCGCAGGATCGTGGGTCCGTCCGCCATCTTCATCTTGTCAGTTGTCGCGCTCGTAGAACCGGTGCGTGCACGCTCGACTGGCGTGGAGACGATCACTTCGTCGCCGCGGTTCTCGTCGATAGGCGCACCCACCGCGAGCGACGATACGAGACGAGTCAAGCCCAGTAGTTGCCCAGATTGTTCCGCCTGACGAAATAACGCATGCGCGTTGTTACGTGCGTTCGTACCGTTACGACGTAAAGGAAGAAAAAAATAGATATTATATTTTAAAATCTGTTATTGCATTTTGTAGAGCCTGTTGGCATTTACTCCGATTTCCGTGATCGAGCCAATTAATGATTTGCTGCACATTTACTAATATTAAAAAAAGTAAAATATTATTTTGAACAAACTCAAATTAATTTAATCAATTATTAATTTAATGCTAATAAAAAATATTACTATTTGTACCAACAAATTTTATAACAATTACCAATAAATCTTATAAAATTACTTAAATAAATTTAAATAACTTTAATTTTGCTTTAACTTGCTTTTTATACTTTTTTTAATTCTAAAAATTTTCGAAAAAGATGGAAGAATAAATTAAACCAAGATTAAAATTATTCGATATTGTCATAAAATGAACATACAGATATACTCAAGTTAATCGAAATTTAATGGAGTCAATCAAGTCTAGCTAGATTTTAATTTATTTTTGGTCAAAGTATTTTTTCTAATATCAATACATGTTTTGAGTAACTCAAATTGCAAGTTTTGTTAATGCAAACACATAAGAAATCGATAAATGATTACGAATAAGTATTTCACTTAGATCATATTAATAAAAATATATTAATACAAATATAAATCTATAAATCGGTATTTCCTGCTATGTGTGATTCGATTTCAAGATTCTCAATGTATTTTTTTGTTACTATACACTTCGTCATATGACAGCTACATGGAACATCATGTTCCACTTTTTCCACATCCAACAAACTGAGCTCCATATTGTAACGTCTTGGATACGACATGTCTTTTTTCAATTCTAGTTTAAAGACAATAGGTTCGTTTCTTATTACTTCTATGTCTTCGGGCAGAACAATCACAGTTTGCTTCCAATGCGTCTCTTTGTCATAAGGTCCTGTGGACAATTCTGAACCATCTGGAAATTCGATGGCAAACCAAATGCACATCCCTTGAAACCTTCCGTCCTTTTTGCACACTGATATATGATTCTCTTCACCTAGCAAATCTATATCTTTCATAGAGATGCAACTCAGATCCAGCCAAGCAAGCAATCTAATATCTCCCAAAAGGTCATTTTGATTTAAAAGCAGTATCTGTGGTTTCAAGGATTTAATTTTTCTGTACTCTTGTCCGATACATCTAAGTAAAAATAGAACATATTATATAATATATATATATTATATAAAAAGTACAGTGCTTAGAATAATTAAAAAAAGGATAAATTAAAAAGACTAAATAAAAAAAAGAATATTTAATACTACTTTTCAAATGCAAATATTAGTACTATCCTTTTGTTTTTCTAAATAATATAATTACCTCATACTGACTCCACATATATCATTCCAAAATTCATACATAGATGGCAACTGGCAAGGTGATGCATATAATTTTGCTATCCATGGAAATAATAAACCGTCCTCACGTAAGAAATAATCTCTAGCAAAAAGTATAGAGTCTAACATCCCTTCGTGTACCAAATAAAAACCCATCCATTCTGAAACTATTATATCTACTTTTTCCAAATTATTTGGATCGATGTCCTCTATTTTACTGTGAATTACTTCAATTTTATCTTGTACATTATTTTCGGTTGTCACTTGCTCGATATTCTTTGCTAACTCACTTGCTTCCACAGCATAAACTTTCTTTGCTCCAACTTGAGCACAAAAAATTGATAATATTCCTACAAAAAAATACAAAATACATAATATATACAATATACATTATACACATCTTTATTAAATATTCTTTATTAAACTATACAATTATTTAATAAAGAAATTTGAAAATAAATTAATTGTTTTACCTGAACCAGCACCAATATCCATTACTATTTTGTTCTGAAATTTCTCTTTCGAATTAAAAATAGCAGTTTTGTATGCTAAAACACGTGCTTTATCACTTAGCATTAATTGATGGATCTAAAAGCAAAATTTAATTTAATAAATATAATATATAATAAAAATTTTATATATACATACATACACATATATACTTTACTCACGTCAAGTTCTTCATAACTTTTAAAATATTGATCCATTGTTTATTAATATAACCAATGTAAACAAAAATTACATGGAGCAATACACACTTTCTGTTATTTCCAATGCTGTTTTTTTATTTATCTTTCTCTTTTCAAGGCAATATCTATCAAAAAATACATGAATCAGGCATGTCTCAATTCTGAAGGAACCACGTGTGTGAATAACGTGTGTAATTTAACTTCTTGAGCGGTATTCCGATTTCCGATATATACTGCTAAAAATCTATAGTATACGTTACATGAACTATAAATTTTCGATATCGGCAATATATATCGGAAGTCTTGTTGATAAATCATTGTTAATAATTAATGTTTATATCTTCAAGGAAAGAAAGTAGCAAAAGGAAGTAAAATCATTCATGCTGATATAAAATCAAACACAAAATATATTTATTTAGAAACATATCTGAAATATATAACTGGCTCCTGATTTACATCTTCCATATAAAATTTCTAACCTATCTTTCATATGCTACACGTGTAACTTAGGCTATGTTAGAGCCATCCTAATCAATAGTATCAAAAATATTTCTATCGCTTTATTTATACGTCGCAGTATACATAAGCAATATTTATTTATAATATTTGGTTTGATAAAAAAATAGATTATAATACTGATATTGTGCTAACCTTAATAATGAGTATAATTTCTACACATGATAAATATTCTTCTGTAATATTAATAAGCTTATTAATATCTAGGATTAGGCTTGTTATCACTGGTAGATAATAGCCCTTCTTTTTCCATCATACGTCTTTTAAATTCCATTTGCTTTTCCATTTGTTTTCTTTTTCTCTCCATTCGTTGTTTCTCACTTGCAGACAACTCTATAAGAGATTAGGAGGATCAACGTTTAAAAATAATTTGCATTTTTATACAAAAAATGAGTGATTAAAAAAATTAGCGATATTACCTTGTTTTGGCTTTTCTTCATTTATAGAATTTGTTTTGTCATTTGATGAGGATTCATCAGTTTTAATATTTTGAATTTTTGCAGATGATAATGGATTAGACTCAGTCGTAGCATTGTTTGCAGTGGATATCAGATTAGGCTCTATGTATAATGACTTATTATTGCATATACATTACATTGATTATAAGTAATCTGAGAATGATATAAATAAAAATATTCATAGATATAAAAAAATATAAAATGATATAATTCATTCCTCAACTCAATTTTTATATTCAAAAATTTCTACTATTTGTTAGAATAATAAGGGATTTAACTAAGGGATCAATTTTAATCTTAATAAGATATTAATAACTTGATCAATATACATCTCTTCTAATATCACATAAAAGTAAGAACATCAGTAAGCATTATGAAATTTTTTAAGAATCTTCTTGAAAACTTTTTACAATTTAGATTTATAAAATTCTCAGATCTATAATATTTCTCTGTTCACAAACCTTTCATTATTGAAAGATCAGAATCTTTCTTTGGTTCTAGACTAGTACACTCTGTCTGTGGCATAGGAGAAGTTATAGGTACTTTAACTGAAATACTTGATTTTTCTTGAATCGACTTAGCTGGTAATGGCAACGTGTTCTTTTGTAAGTCATTAGTTTGTTCAGGATCGATTCGTTTTTGCAAGTGTCGTAACTCCCTTTCGATTTTATTTCCAAATGATAACAGAACCCTTTTTAAGGCATTTATAGCAGAACCCTGTGCAAAAAAAACTATTATAATCTTTTTCAGACAAATATAATTCCAAATATTTTTATTTCCTTTTTTGAATGGTACTTTCCTTTTGAATAATACTTACAACTCTAGCATTATGTATTGACAATCCCTTAGTTGATTCTTCTGCAATGAAATAACCAATATCTTCGTGGAAACATCCATTGTCGAGCTGGACCTTGACAGTACTGACACATCCAGTGCAGCATTTCGCACCAATAACCTCGATAAAATCTACACCAAATTGAAGCTTATTTCTGTGTATAAATCTGATGAAACTACTTATACTTAAAAACTTTTTTTGGCGATGACAGATATACCTAAAGTTTGACTGACAACAGTATGACTCCATTTGTTCTCTCCAAAAACTTTATTGGCAGTCAAAATTAAATCACGATGATTTGCTGCGAAACCCATTTCTGCCTTCTCGGTCTTGTGCATATCTTTTGTTGTGACTTGCTTCGTAGCAGGCTGACAGGCAAAAACAATCAGACATTTGTATCATCTTAGGCCGATAGATAAATTATTTTCTATCTTATGCTACAAAGCCGCTAACCAGAATCTGTGAGATTACTCACGATTTTGATGCACGACAGATATTCGTGTCCATTGTACATACTGCCGGCAAATTTGCATAAATTCGTATCTTTAAAAATTGCAAATTTTAGCGCGCAAACACGATAAGGACGCACGAAGAAACGTAAGAAAAATAAAAGTAAATCGACCAATCGCAATCGAGAGTCATCTCAGAGTTCATTTCGGACAAGAAGAATACCAACCTAAAATTCAAAAAAAGATAAAGCAGACGGAAACTCGATTAATTCCATTTCTATTGTCCATTGTAGAAACCAATGTAGAAAAGAATTGAAAAAAAATAAAAAAAAAACATAATTAAATTAAACAGATATTAAAATTAATAAACATTTGTAGAAATGGACATTAAATCATTTTCTTATTTTTTATTTTTATATTCTCTAAGATTAATTTAATAAGGGACTAATCCCACGTAGCACAACAGCGCGTGCAAAGCGCTTTAAAAACACTGAGTTGAGTTCTCAATAACGCTCTTAAAACGCTTTGCACACGCTGTTTTGCACAGCTGTGCTATATGGGATTCATCTAATAAAATTATTTAAAATATTTTTAATTTTTAATATGATTTATTCTGATCTTTTTTTTGACGCATAAAAAATTAAAAACTTTATTTAAATTAAATAATACATTAATAAAACGTAATAATAACGTAATTTGTTATAATATTCGCAATAATTAATCATATCATTAAAGAGAAGCCTGAGAGCGGCCATCTCGGTCTTTTTCGTGAGAAATCGTCAAAATTCTCATACACATAGCGTCAATAAGTTCAATTTTAGCATTGAAATTAAGTAGTCACTTCTATTTTCTGATAAATTGCCGATAAAATTCCATTCTAGTGTGTGTCTGTGCTACTTTCTCAATTCGTGGATCAAAAATATATTTAATATGTAATTATATATCTGTTTACGTTTGCATAATTGTTTTGTTATAAAATAAAATTTTGTTGAACATTAACATCAGTATGTTTACATTTATTAATATGTTCATATTTATATGTACATACATATATGTACAATAAAAATAACGTATGACAAATATTCATTTATTTTTATAAAATCCCTCATAATTAGATGTTTTGCATATAATTATACATATATTATTGTTATAATTCATTATTTAATATTTAAATCTTTTATATAATTTAAAAATAGTTTACAATATTTACATCATAGGAAATGTATATTTATTAAAAAAAAATAAAGAAACCAAGAATAAAAATAAATTAGAAGAAATTTAAGGAAAGCTTATGTATCAAAAATAAGTATACAGTAAAAAATATATCTTGAAATTTTGTAGGACTCGAGAATATTTTTAATATACACAATTTTTACACGGCCTTTTTATGAATAGAATTTAATATTTTATAAAATTAACTCTTGATATATTCGACAAATATCGTCGAAAGTATTTAATATAATTTATTCTACTATAATCGAAACGATATACATATAGATTTACGATAATGACGAATTATTTTTATAATAATACGATTATTTTTATAATAAATGGTCTAATCTGAACATCTTTAACATTAGGTACTTTTAAAGCCTTCTCTGAATTTTATTGTATAGCATTTTATAATACATACATACACATAGTGACAGTGAGTTTATTTATTGTAACAATCGTTTATTATATACATATAATACACATAAGATACATAAGATATCTATCTTTGATAAATAGCAACGAATCTATTAAACAAGATAGTAAATATACGATAATGGATTATTCAGAAGATATTTAAAACATAATGATTACAGCAATTAATGTTAATTTATCAAAAGATGTTATAGGGCTTCGTATTTAAAGATTATTCGTAATATTATCGAACATTTCGTTTTACACACATTGTAGGTGTCGTAGCCTTGATAAATGTTTACGTTCCGCGTAGCGCTCTCCATTGTGTACACGCGGCGAGTAGCACGTGCCGTGTTTACGAGCGCTCCGCGTGTTACTATTCTTTAACTGGCGTTCGTACGGTGCGCATCGCTCCGCGTTTTTCGCATTTCTTTATTACTAAATGGTACCAAACGTTGTTGTATAATATAAATATACTTAATAATAAATTATTAACGATTGATTAAACGTATCAAAACAACTTTTTAATAACGTATATACACGCGATTTATTCTTTTAAAATTTATAACTTTTTTATAAATGATAACCCCTTCGATGAGTACGGTCTTGACGTGGCGGAGGGGCTGAGTATTCCGAGAGGTTTTGTACTTCAAAGAAGAAACTAACAATATCTATTATACCGTTACCAATAACGTTAATATAAACTCATAAATCATTGATGTTGATAATGTATCAATAATGTATGAATACAGCATAGCCATGAGTCATCCAATTCCTATCTGACAAATGTGTTCCACGCAGTCGATGGATTTTTAATCGACATTCCATCGTCGATTTAAGTAAATAAACAAATTGTAATCAGATTTATAAACGTATCGAAACAATAATTATATAACGAAATATATACATATATTATTTAATATTCAGTTAGTAAAAAATTCTGTACTTTCGTGTAAGTTAAATATTATTTGTAATATTGCTGACTATTTCATCGTAATGAGATCGAGGGTGAGGCAGCTTTGAAAAATATTTACGCGCGCTCCATTGTGTACATACGGCGAGTAGCACGTGTCGCATTCACGTGCTACCATTCATTCATCGGTCTTCGTACAGATAGATCGTAGTGCGCGCAGCTTCGCATTTCTTCGCGTTTCTTTATTGCTAAGTGATACGAAATGTTGCTATATCTTATGAAATAATATCTTATGTAATAATAATTGCTAATTAACTGACTAATTAACGATTCGTAATATCGTCGAAAAATATTAATATTATAATATTGTCGAAAATGTTCAGTATAATTTATTCTTTTATAATCGAAACGATATACATATAGTAATAGATTCACGATAATTACGAGCGATTATTTTTATAATAACGGTCTAATCCAAATATCTTTAATATTTGTACACTTTTAAATTGTATAATATTATATAATATTGTGTAATACGTACATACATATAGCGACAGCTAATTTATTTATTGTAACAATTTATTGTAACAATTGTTTATTATAAGGTATACAAGATATCTATATATCTATTTTTGATAAGTAATAACGAGTCTATTAAACAAAATAATAAATGCATAATAATAGATTATTTAGAAGGTATTTGAAACGTAATGATTACATAAAACGTAATGATTTAATGTTGAATCGTCAAAAGACGTTATAACGTCTATCAGATATTATTCATAATATTGTTGAAAATTTTTTTTGTACATACGGTATAGATATAGTTGCCTTGAGAGTTGTTTACGGTTCATGGCCATATGTATACGCCGTAGCGCCGTGCCGTGTTTACGAGCGCTCCGCATGTTATCATTCTTTATCTGGCGTTCGTACGGGCAGGTAGCGGTGCGCGTCGCTCCGCGTTTTTTCACATTATTTCATTGTTAAATGATATTACTGATACCAAACATTGCTGTACTATACGAATAGAATAATGCTTCTATATAACAATTGATTAACGATTGATTAAACCCTATCGAGACAATGATTTTAATTTAAAGTAAAAATTTTAATTTAAAGTATATACGTATATATACGTATATTTCGCGTGACTTATTTCTTTGAAATTCACTTTTGGTGAATATTAACCCCTCTAAAGGGTATGGCCTTGACGTGGCAGAGGGGCTCAGTATTCCGAGGGGTTACCTAAGCGGCATTATTAATCGGCAGAATGTTGGCCAAACGTTAATCACTGTTGGTCCGATGTTGGCTGATGGTTTGCCGATTAATTTGTGCTACTTGGGTACGTGGGTACCCCAAAGACGAAGAAGCCAACAGTACCCATTGCACCATTATTAATAACATTAATATTAACGTTAGCTAATATTACTGTTATTAATAATGTACTAGCACAGCATAGCCACGAGTCGTGAAAGGGCTCTTATGTGGCAAAGTTGATTAATGCGGTTCACGCATTAATCGTCGATTTTGAATCGACATTCCGCCGCCGATTTTAATTGTGAATAAACGAACTGCAGCCAGTTCGTCGCGTCGCGCGTTTGTTTCGGGAGTGCCGCAAGTGAATGGACTAAAAGACTTTTCTTCGCCCTGCGAGGGCTCGTTCGAAAGATATCACAGTTCGTGCCGGGAGTCGCACTGTCAAGGGGTGCAGGGAGCGCGGGATCTCATTGAGGCATAGTCGGCTACGTCCTCACGCCACGTGCGCCGCGGCACTGGTGATGCCGGCTGTGAATGTTACACGCACTCGCTACCGCTTGATGTGTTGTGTTTCGCACAGTTGCAACTTGCATTAAACGGCTAATTGAGAACACGCTCTGTCTTCGACAAGTGGTCCCAATCGGTCCCAATCGGTCCAAGATTTCGATCGGCTGACTTGTTTTCGTCGCTTATTCTCTTGATTTCTTATTTTCGACACAGCATTGTCACGAGTCGTGAAAGGGCTCCTATGTGACGCGTGCGTTTCACGCACTAATATACGCGATTATATAAGCGCGTATTAGTCTGGAGCGCGCGGACTATTTCTCATTTTCAACACAGCATCGCCACGAGTCGTGAAAGGGCTCCTATGTGGCGCGTGCGATTATTTAATCGCCAACGACCTTTATTTTCTCTTCCTTAATACCTTACCCTTTCCCTTTTTAAACAAATCGCATTTAATCTGACTCGATCAGAACTTAGTTCGGGCGGTTATTGCGTGTGCCGAGAGGCTGGATCCCAGTTGCCCGATTGTCTAGATTGTTAGGCATCGGCGGTGGGTACCTTCTCTCTTGTCACATCTACCAGCCTTTTCGATAGCCCGGGTGACTTTTGATATCACGTGTATGGTATCCGCCCTGGTGATTCGACCTGAACCGTTGGCTATGTGATGGTTGAGTCAATTTTAGACGTGATTTCTAAGAAACAAGAGACGTCGGATTCTAGTCAGTCGATTCGTCTTCTTCCGCTTCGGTTCTAGCCCTTGCTTGAGGAGTTACCGTGTGTCCCGAAAAGCTCACCGACTCGGGTGCTGACTGGACCGACGGAACTTGATATTTTCACGGGCAGTTAAACGCGGAGTGTCGTCAAATATCGCGCGAAAGACTTTTATTTAAAATTAGTCCGCGTGCGTTATTAAAATAATTCGCGAGTGTTTTTCGCGAGTGTCTTGTGCTGCGAGGACATCCGACGACCCGACATCTCGAGAGGAGGAGGAGGCCTAGGAGAGGCATCGGGCATCGGCGGAGCAACCTTGCGGTAAATATACATTTTATGTTAACAAAATTAAAATTAATAATTTATTTAAATCATTAGCTATCGATAATTTAAAATTTGTATAATTTGGAAAAGAGAAAAATGATGATGAAATGAATAAAATTTCGTACGAATTTATTTTTATAAAGATCTTTTTTTGGAAATTATATAATTTTTGCAAATGATTTTTGGAATAAATAATATATTTTTAATAAATATTTAATTGAGAATAAATAGATTTGATATACATATGAATTATTTTTTTAAATATCTATTATTTGCAGCATTGCTATAATTTGAATATTTTGTTTGTGTGTTACAGAATCATCGTAGCTACATGGCAGATTAACTCCGTTGTTGCGCATCGGATCGGTGAGTGATAAATTTTTTTTATATTGGGGTAACAAATTTGTGAAACTTATATTAGATTATTTTTATGTATTTATTATAAAAGTTTCGCAGTTAAATATATTTTCACAGATTTGTTGCCCTAAAATGGATAGATTTAAACAGATTGGGATGTATATTTAATTCTGGTATGACACTATTTATTTATTGTATTTTAATGCACTTGTACAGACACAAAGAGCTCATGAAATAGAGCTCATTGTATCGATATTTTATTATTTTATATTGCTTTTCGCATTTTAAATTTTGCGAGTATTAATTGTTTAAAAGTTATCAAACAATCTCAAAAAAAAACAAAAATAATTTAATTGTTTTAAGAAATTAAATACATATATAATGTAATATATAAAGTAATAATGTAAAAATAATGTAAAAATAATAGAGTTTATTTTATTTAGTATTTTTTAGAAATATATTAATATATAATTTATTAAATTTATTAAATTTATTAAATTTTTGAAATAAATATTTAACATAAGAAATCCAATTAAATTAATATTCTTCAAAAACATTAAATTTCTATTTTCAATATTTTTTATAATACATATTTTTTAATATGGATGCAAAAATATAAATGATGTTATATATAAACTATGACTCTCTAAGTTGGATTACTATGGCTTAAAACCATAATAAAACCTTGAGACCCGATCGCCACTGTCTAAATTGATTGGGCATTGTGTCTAGGATTATCCTAGACTGAGCACACTAGACCAATAGTCCAGTCGGGGCAGGGATTGACTGGAGGTCACGGTCCTCCGATCTATCCTGAGCCCACATTCTAGGCGTACGAGACCTTCGGGAAATCTCTATTGCGTCTATACTGCAAGCTGCCCAAAGGAGGCTTAAAGTAGTTTGAGAGTAGGCATGTACTCTCGCCTTCCGGAGGAAACGTGCCCTTGCAGTGAAGGTTTGTCAGGTGTCCTGGCTTTACGAAGTCCAGTGCGCCGAGCTGGCGTTGTTGTTTGGATCCGTGAATCCTAGCGGCCTGGAAACCGCGTCGTGCTGGTGCCTATTGACGTTTGGGCATGTGTCGTGAGGGTTGAATTAAAAAGAGAGTCATACTTTATAATTATATGTAATAAGAATATAAATGGATATATTGTGTATTTTTTATTTACCTATCTTTCCTCTTTCTATATTTTATTACCAGAATTAAATATCTAAATTGGGACATAAAAGAAATATATATATAGTATATATGAAATTTAGAAATTTTTTAATAATGTATATCATTAAATATAAGTGAATGTTTAGCAAACATTAATAACATTAATAACAAATTATATAACACATGTGCCGATTTGATCCTAATCAAATGTTTTATCTATCCATCTATATTACTTAATAACTTGGCTTTACGTAAAATAAAGCAAAATTTAATATGACGAAGATTCAATAAATGTTTCGTCTTGCGGAATATAAATTCATAATCATAAATTATTAATTTATTTTTATTTAAAATGTTAGTTTTATATTAAGTTTATTTTGAATCAAAATCCTAATTTAATAAATATTGTTAACATATCATATTTTTTTTATTTACATTATTTATTAAATTTATTATTACTCGCGATTATTACTTGCGATCGACGTCCGCGTGTAAAAGCGAAAAATCTGCCGATATTGAAAAGTCAGCCGATAATTGAAGGAGAGTATACCTCCTTTCTATCATTTCTGGCTATATGTCGTCAGAATCAACGATGGAGCAACGTGGCCAGGAGCAACGAAAGGTAGGTCCAATCTGGCCTGAAGAATCATGAAAGATTAGTTAATATTAACTAAAATGAATAAGTGGTAAACATTTTTATACATCCGTGCAATTGCACGTAATTACGGGAGGGAAATGACAAAATATCATCTGTGTCTTTCATATATCATAGATTTCTGAATATTGATTTCTTTTCTGAATATATTTCCCATTGAATAATCGCGGATTAGGGACTCTGTTGGATCAGTCAGCATAAAATAGGGATTCGATTAGGTAGGGAGACTATGGAAAAATTCATAAAAGGTAGAAATTAAAATTCGATAGATAGCGACGTTATGAAAATTCAGGTGGGAAAGAATTGTGACAGCTATATGCTTTATGTAAAATGATGTTTGTTATTACATGTGTTATTATACATCTTTTATTACATATTTGTATTTTTATTATATTATACTATTATATTATATTTACTATTATTATATTATACTATTATTTTATTTATTATACTATTATTATTTATATACTACTATTTTATTATATTATACTATATTTGATTATGTACTCATATTTAACTTTATATGTATTTGATACTAAACTTAATTGCATATAAATAATAAAATATAAAAAAATGTAAAAAAATATATAGCAAAAAAAAGAGGACCGTCGATCAAAATCAGTGGTGGAGGATCTCAATTTCGTCGATTTTTATTGGATAAATATTATGACTAATAAATATTACGAATAATAAACA